GATCCAGGTTGGCCAAAGAAGGGTGGGTGGGTGGTTTGTGTCTCCCAGGAAGAACATTTTCCCCTCCATTGTGTTCACTGATGATACCAGATTTCCTCCCCTCCATCCAAGCGATGCCAGGCCGAACGTTGTACCTACTTTTCAAACAGTGAGAAAGCCCTTGCTTTTTGGTATGTTGAAACCTTTCCTCGAAAATAGGAGGAATCTGTTCGGTTGGTTCTTCCCGTTGAAGAAGAAACAAAATCAAATCAACAAACACAACCCTTTCAGAATGATCTATTCTAGTTTCAGCCCCTTAAAATTATTTTCTTTAAAACAGTGGTTTTTGACGTCTGCTGTTCTCCAAGGTGGCTGAGTAAGAAATCACTACCATCAACTCTAAACCTTTCTCTTTAAGGTTAAATCTACTAAATGAAAGTCAGGGGAAAGGTGGCACAGGAGGGAATGTGATGGTCTTTAAACAAAGTTTCTTGAAGGGTTTCTTCAAGATTTGGAAAGATTTTTTTACAATCCGTTTCTTAAAGCCATGTTGATTTCTTAAGAGAGGAAATTGAGGCGGTTGCGTGGGCAGAAATGCCAGGAAGAACCCACCCTTAAGCGGCACCGGATGGCACCGATTGACCGAAAGCAGGGGGAAACGAGCCCTCCGTCAGGATGAACCCTTAAAGGGTCGCAATCCAGTATCGGCAGCTATCTAGGATGGATCGTGGGCCTGCATTTCGACGAGGGGAGAAGCTGACCTTCCACGCCGTGAAGAAACAGGAAAGGAAAGCCATGCTTTGGGTCACAAGAGGCAGGGTGGCTTCTGGACAAAAAGCCTCGGGGCTGAAAAGATGCAAGGTGTGCGCACACGTCCACCTCCCTGGATCGCCTCGTCCCTCACGCAGTCCTGAGCCGGCCCTGCGTTTCCACCGCGTCCAGCACGGCGTGCACTTCTCTAGCGAGACGCCAAGGACCGGACGCTCAGAGGAAGGCACCGTCCCGAATACTTAGGACCTGCTTCTTCTTCCCCAGGGAATTGCCTGAGCCGGACCCATCAGGTCTAATTTAAGAACAGACAACTATTCATTTCAATGTACCGAAATGTTCTCATAATTACTATGACGAGGCCTGTTTTCCTGGGTTCACCTCCGTTGACTCTTTCTTCAGACTAGAATGCCTTGGTTTCCATCATTCGGACACAAAAGCCAAAGAGTTTTTTGTATTAGCTTCAAACGTTTAGCATTAGCTCCTAACTCCGCTTGCGGCCAAGCTCTTTGCAAGCCCCTGTACCGGCGTGAAGAGGTGGTGACATCGTTGGTCTCCTCCCGATGCCCAGCTCTTTCGTCACGTACTCTCTAGAGAGAAATAGGCGGCCGAAGGAGGAAGTTAATTAAATTAAACAAAGCCACCTTTTACTAGTGTTCTAGCTATTGAGCTCAATGGGCACATTTATTGTAAATACGCCTAGTTCTAGTTAAATGCAGGTTTTATTGTTTTTGCTGGTGACTAGGTGTTCTTGTTCTCATTGTCTGTTGTGGTTTTGTACTCTATGACGTTCAGTTGTGCCTTCATCGGTTGTGAACCACCCGGAGCGTATTTGCAGTAATGGGGCAGTATAGAGGTTTTAATACCTACCTACCGACCGACCGACCGACCGACCGACCGTGTGCCGTATCGGGGTCTAAGAACTCCCAGATTAAAATACAGTGGTGCCTCGCTTAACGAGCCCCCCGCTGAGCGATGAAATCGCTTAACGAGGCGCTCTGGGCCATCGCTGGAGTATTCGCTCAGCAATGGCCCCTATGGCGTTTTTTCGCTTTGCGAGATTCGCTAAGCGATTCGCTTAGCGAATATCGCCTAATGAAGAGGGGGAGAACAGCTGATCGGCAGTTCCAAAATGGCCGCCGGAAGGTCCGCGCCGCATTTTCGCGCCCTGCCCTTGCTTACCGAGGGCGCGAAAATGGCGGCGCTATGGAGGAACATCGCTTAACGGTGAGTTTTAAAGCCATAGGAACGCATTGAACGAAGTTCAATGCGTTTCTATGGCTTTTTAAATTCCGTTTAGCGATGTTTCGCTATAGCGAAGGTTAATCCGGAACGGATTAACCTCGCTATGCGAGGCACCACTGTAAACCTTTCAGTCTTCAGTGTGTCCCCAAGACTTCACTGGGTTATTAATCACTTTAATGCAAGATCAAAGGGATCCCGATTAAGATGCTACCTCTCTTTGTCTCCGTTCAGAAGCAGCTTCCCGGATCACACCCTGCCAGCCAAGTCCGGTTCGCCGTGTCGCTGCAACGCAAGAACGAGAGCTCCCCTCCTGTGGCCTGCCGGGCGAGCGACTCGTAAGTAAGAGAAATACCACCACAGCCCTGCCTTGCGCTTTTCGCAACCGCTGGGATTCTCATCTTCCTTTCTGCTCATTTTCCTCAAATGTTTTTTTCTCAGACCAAGGAGAAATAGAAGTGACGGGTGAAGGAGAAGTGGAGAACACCCAACTATGACTAATAGCACAATGTGGATATTTTAAAAAACCTAGTCTTGTGGAGGGATTTTTGGGAACTGTAGCCAAAATAAGTAACGTTTCCCTGAGAGATATTTACAAAATCAGCACCCAGAAGAACGGTAGTACCCCCATATCCGTGGGATCAATATCCACAGTTTCACTTATCTGCAGTCTGAAAATATTTAAGATATTAAAAGAAAAATGAGAAATATGTATTTTTGTGGTGTATTTGCCAAAGCTGGTCACTAGAGGGGGCCAGAGACCATGTTCTGTGTTCTTCTTGTTGAAGAATGGTCTCTGGCTGCCTCTAGTGGCCAGTCCTGGTAATACATAGTGGACATTACCTGAAATGAGATGCTTCTCCCAGTCAATTTTCAGAAGTTATGTTTCAAAGGCCTTTTAAACACATTTTGAAGCGACTTTTCAAAGCTTAGGCCCCCTGTCTTACAAATCGTAAGCGGCTGGGTTCTGTTCCTTTAACATAAGAAAAAGTCGCTGGCAAGAAGCCTGCAACGGGATTGTAACAAGCCTTCTCCTCCCAGGCTGAAATGACTCAACAGGATAAATTCCTTTTTAAAACTAATTTTTCAGTTCAAAAATGGTGGGGTTGGTGGGCTGTTGTTTGTTTGGTTTGTTTGCCACACGCTGGCTTCCAGGAGCCCGGACGAAGTAGCTGAGAGTCTGGATTTGGTTTATTGGTCGTTGATCTTAGGTCTGTTGGGCAAGAAGACCACCAGAATCAGCGATCCGCCCCGGTCCAGTCCCTGAGCCATGGGCTACTGCACTGGGGGGACCTTGTGGCCCCCCAAATACCCAGCCCGAAACCAAAGTACCGTGGAGCCTCAGGTAAGTCGTTCCGTCGGCTTCCTCTCTCCTTCCCTTCCCAACCTGCACGGAGTGGCCAAACCACGGTTCAGAAACAGGGCAGAACAAAGACCACGTTGAGGAAGAACTGAAGTTCGCAAACTGTGGTTTGTGCCAATTGTGGTTTGTTGTGACCCCGGGACTGGCAAACCAGAGTTTAAGCTCTTGCTTGGTCTCCAGAGATAACAGGACGAGAATGCAAGCAGCCCTTAAATAGGGCAAACCGATAGGCCTCAAGACTATCTATCTATCTATCTATCTATCTATCTATCTATCTATCTATCTATGGTTTGTGCCAATTGTGGTTTGTTGTGACCCCGGGACTGGCAAACCAGAGTTTAAGCTCTTGCTTTGTCTCCAGAGAACAGGACGAGAATACAAGCAGCCCTTAAATAGGGCGAACCGATAGGCCTCAAGACTATCTATCTGTCTGTCTGTCTGTCTGTCTGATCTATTTATCTCTCCCACCTATCTGGTCAATATGACTAGCTTATTAGCTCTCACTGTTCCTGCAGTTCAGATCGGGGCACCCGGGATCCCCAACGGAGACGCGGCCTTGGTCGGCAAGAGCACGGAGGACACTCGGGGTCCCTCAGCATTCCCGGATTTTCACAAGAAGGGACAGGAGAGCAGGTGAGCTCCTCTGGAGGAGCAGCTGGCCCCGAAGGCCGCTGGCCCCTGGAATGTATGCAGCCGCCAAAGGTTTCGGAGGAGAAAAGGGGTTGCCGGAGTGTTCTTTTATATCCCAGAAAAAAATGTTTCCATTTAGGCCCCAAAGTGTTTGCCTTTAAGCATTTGCAATGTATTAAAAAGCATTTGCATCTCTCTCTCTCTCTCTCTCTATATTAAAAAGCATTTGCATCTCTCTCACACACACACGCACACACACACACACACACATATGGGGTGAGCAGAATGAAAGCGAAGTGTCTGTTTTGCCAAGGCAAAACAACCCTGGACAAATTACTTCTCAGCTCTCAGCAGCTTCTCTTGTTGTTGTTGTTTTTTCCAGCCACCTCAACGCTTTCCTCTACCCGGATCCTTTGCACCAAAACTGCCTCCAGAGCAGGAAGGCCTGCCATGCACAAACATGTAGGTACAGCAGGGAGTTGTTGGGGGGGGGGGCTTCTCCTTTGCTGAACAAAACTAGACGGCACAGTTAACGCAGCGTTTTCAAGCAGGGCTCCCTGAAGGAGGGGAAACACTCTTGTTTCCTTCCACATGTCCCAAACTCACTGGCTTTTATTTGGCAACCGGTCCTTGAGAAGTAAACAAAGATTTTTGTGTGCAAGCCTGGCTGCTCAGACATGGAGCTTTGAAGGATCAGGGTATCTAGAGGGAAAGTGTACTTTCCTAAATTTTCTTTAAAAGGTGGTTGGTCTTGGCACTGCTCAAAGAGGCTCAAGGGCTGCTCTGGTATTATTCACTTTTAAAGCTAAGGCGGTGGAAGACACGTCTCGAACTGCAGCAGTTTGGCAGCCTGGGTTTTAATCTTACGTCCCCTTCGACAGAGTAAGCCCATCTCCCCAATCTGAGGGCATTCTCCCAAAAAAACCCAAATCGGGGCGTCATCTCCTGTTTTTCTCTTTCGTCCGCCAGGCCAGCAGGAGCGTGGAACCGTCCAGCCGAGAACAAGGACCTTACAGAGGTACATCGATTCACGGGCTCTGGCGGAAGGGATCCCCAATAAAAAAATTAAAATAAAAATCTTCCGCGGGAGAAATGAGGTCCTTGAGGGCACAGGCAGGAAGCCAGGAGAGTGGCTGGAAAAGTCTGGCAAGAACAGAAGGCCTTGGTGAATCCATCCAGATGTATCCATACAGGTTCCCAGTAAGAAAGCCATCGGGGTTTAGCTGTTTAGCCCTCGGGTGAGCCAAAGGGGGGCCCCCCGCAGGCTGCAATGATCTTCTGAGCACCTGGCTCTACCTGTTAACACACACCCCTTCCTCCTTTTCCTGTTCCCTTCCTTGGCAAAATGCTTCTGACGCATACACACTACGCAGCCTCTGCATTACCCGCTGGTATTGCTTTGACCCCCCCTTGAACCGTCGTGGCTCCGCCCTCTTGAGGAATCTTGGGAGTTGTAGTTTGAGGAGGGGCTCAGAATCCTCAGCAAGAGCAGCCCGGCACACACACACACACGCACTACACGGAGCCTCTAAATGACTGCTCCCAGGTCACAGTCCGAGTGAAACACACACACACACCAAGTGAAGCAGCGACAGCGCAGAGCCTTGTCACGCCTTCTCTCTCCTTCCTTTCTCAGGGCCCCGGGGCCTCCCGTTTGCATCTCCGGCCGGCACCTGGAGCCCCGCCAACTCGGATGGAAGGAGAGGCTGAAGTCCGTCGTGTGTGCCTTGATGTGACCACGACTGGGCTCCCGATGGACCACCGGACGGGAACCTAGGAGGGATTCTAGGTCCAAACGGCCATTCCACAAACAGCCGCCGGCTGCAGATCCTCCGACGGACACGACACCCTGTCGGGGAAAGCAGCTGCCGACAAGTCACCCAAAATGAGGACAAAGAAGGTCCACATTACTTGCACAAAAATTGCATTGGCTGATATGTGTATATACCGATATGTGTATGTGCAGAGGCAAAATTAGACGTGGTTCTCGCTATTTAAAAATTCAGGCGTGGAACTTTCTCCTGACTCCACTGCTGCTACCCGGAGATGATCGTGGCTGCATAACTCTGCACCAGGATGGTGACCGATAAATGAATACTATCGGTGAAGGAGAAAGCTTAAATTGAACACAGGCAGGATTTTGTTTGGGCAGATGGCCCCGCCGCGTCTTACGTCTTGAGTAGAACGCTAAAAACCAAATTGCAAATCGTGGTAAATAAAAAACGGCAACCGGTTCAAAGGAAAAACCTCACGAGACCTCTTTTGCTCGAGATTTTGAAGCACAGATTCGGTGGGCTCTCCCATCAAGCCGTGTGTTCTCCGCACCCCACTGGGGTTAGACTAGATGGCCTTTGAAGTTCCTTTCAAATGTACGATCCTACAATTCAGTGAAACAGGAACGGTTCCAGCAAAACATGAAGCTGGACCAAACTGGACTCCATACGTGGCTTTATTAGTCATGCGCGAGGTGGAAAGCTAACAGGACAATCAATCTCCTTGATTGTTATAAACAACATAAATAAATAAATAGGAGCCCATTCCTTTAGGAGGGCGAAAAGTATAAATCTGAGTGATGCTTGAAGCAGATTTCCTACAACGCCGCCGCGGAGAAACCTCTCCTGGTCGAGCAGAACAGGAAGTGGCTGCCGGTCCGTGTTGATCAACTTTTTGCTCACATTACAGCCTGTCAACTCAAAACAGCACCATTCCACTGACTGTACAGAGAACTTATTAAAGTAATATTTTCTGGATCATTGGTGTCGGAACCTTCCAGTCTCTGTGGTCAATGGGATTTGTTGGGCGGAAAGGTTTTCCCAGCCTCCAAGGTCTAAGCCAACGGAGGGCCAGGGGTGGTCTCGGCGAGCCTCCGATGGGTCTTCTGCAGGCTGCCTCCTATGTTTTTACCGGAATTCCTTCGGTCTTTCCAGCAACTGCAGTCCCCTCGGAGATCCTTAAGCCGTATTTGGGGGGAATACGCCACGCGCCTGACGGGATATTCCAAATCGCTTTCGGTGTCTGGGTCGGCTCCGTTTGTCTCTTCTTGGGGGTCTTTCCCCGGAGAGCTTTTCCCCGAAAACCTTCGTCCCGTGGAACGGGCAAGAGGCTTCCGGGTGAGACTGGACCCCTCGTGGTGACCCACTGCTGTCGCAGGGTCGGGAGGGCTGTGGGGCAACCGAGTACCTGGGTTTGGAAGCCCACCAGGACTGGGAACCCCAGCGGGACCCATCCTCCACCCTTCGGACCCTGAGCTCTGGGCCAGGGAGGAAGCCGGGTCCCCAGGATCAGCACGCAAGAGGCTTCCGGGGGACGGCCCGCTTTCCAAGCCTGAAGGTGACTCAATGGGGGAGCTGCTGTACTCAAAGTCTGAAGGCAGGCCGTGCGCCAGGGAGCTCAGCGCCACCGGCGAAGCAGGGGAGACGCTGCTGGGTTCAGACTGGGACAAACTGGAACCGGACTCTTCCCAAGAACTGCTATATTCAAAACCGGAGGAGCTGGTCGGTTCCGGCGAAGAGGAGAGACTTGTGTAGTCGTAGAAGGAGGCGCTGCTGTACCCAGAGGGCTCTCTTCTGGGAAGCCAAGAGGAAGCCCGCTGTGCCTCTTTCTGGGGATGCGCCTGCATTTTCCTCTTGGGGTGTGTTGGGTGGGGGACTTTTGCACTGTTGGAATCAATAAAGGTGAGACTCAACAAGGCGGGAGGACAGAACAGGCTGAGAAGGACCCGGTGCGAGCACTTTTGCGTCACGGGGAATCTATGGGATTGGGGTCCTGCACGGAGGAGGGCTGGTCACAGAAACCAAACAGGCTGGCCTTGATGGGTTTGGGGTTTAGAACGGTTCTGGATCTGTTCGGAGGCTGGCTTGCATGTTTTGGGGTCTCTCTGATTTCCCACACACATATAAAAAGGGTTGAACTCCGTGGACCTTCCAGCCCTTAAATTCTACGACGCTATAATTTTTTTATTTCTTATTATGGGTTTAAAATATGTTTACCCTGCCTTTCTCCTAAAATAGGACCCAGAACTGGCTCGCTTCGACCAAAGTGGACCCAACAGGAAGTGCCAGGGGCCTACTGGGCAGGCACAGAAAGCTACCCTGCTTCGCCCCCTACGAACTACAACCCAATGGTAGACTGCCACTAAACTTGGAGGTTCTGTGCACCTGTGTAAGAACCCCCCACATGCCAGGCTGTATTAGACCCAGGGCTCCTCTGGTCCAGCACCCGCTTCCCAAGAGCACCTACATTGCCACCTCTCGAGAAAAAGCAAGAGCAAAATAGCCAGCCTCTACCGGGGCACAAAAGCCGGTGGGGTGTCCCGGATAAAGGACTCAGAAGGCCCGGGTTCAAATCCTGTCTCGTCCAGGGAGACGCCCTGCCAGTGGAAATAAGAAACCACTCCTCAACTATCTCCCACATACAGTACTTCGAAAACATTATTAGGGCCTCCACAATTCGGAAGCAGCTTAATGGGGCATAACCACACCCGATGGTACAGTTCACCTAATCATGGAGGCTCTACACCTGGGAGGCTAATAAACAGCTGCGCAACCAGCTCGTTCTGCGCCTCGGACTTCTCGGGACACCCACGCGGGAGGGCTGCGTTTGCAAAGCAAGGGGTCCGTGGGCACAACGAGGGTCCCGTGGCTTTTCGTTTCGCAAAATAAGAATCCACTCAACCGCCATCTTGGGACCCGACTTTCCGTCCCCGGCCCTCCCTTCCTGTACCTGCTCCTCTCCAGCCACAGACCCACACAACACACACACACACATACCCTCTGCGAGCTGCGCCACAACCCCCAACCTCTCGGAGGGTCCGGCTGCCCTCGGAAGGCGGCCGGCGGGGCCGATTTGCCACCAAGGCGTCGCCCCCTCTGGCATCGGCCGGCTGCCCTCCGTCCTTCCTCTCCCGAAAAGGGGCTTGGGGGGTTTTATTTGGGGGGGCGCGTCTTCCGCCTCCCCGAGCGATCCGCCTCTGGTTCTGCTTTCGGAGGTTTCATTGTTGCCAAACCAGCCGGCCGCCCGAACAAAGTAACCAGGAGAGGCAAACAAGGCGACCCTTGTTTATTGTTATTGTTACTGTTCTTCTTCGGTTCGGCGTGGGCCCGATCCGGCTTCGGTCCCTCCAGATCCCGGGAGGGAGGCAGGGCGGGCCCCACAGACAGCCCTCCCCGCCCGCCAGTCCGCCTGCCTTTCCCGGGAAGAGGGCTGGCCTCTCCCGAGCGGGAGGCGAGGGCGCTGCGCAATTACGCACGGCCGCGGCGCGCGCTTGGAGAG